CCTAACAGGAAGATGCTAAGTTCTGTCTATTGTCTTTCCTTCTGCATTGACATCATTCATATCCTCTCTGTTGGGACACAGAAGGTATTCAGGCAGGACATGTACATCTTCCCTCTTGCCATACTCTTGTATTATTCCTTTCCTATGAACTCTTTAGACCGCAAATCTAGTCTTGTTAGTACTAGGTACTGGGGTTGCTCTTCTATAAGTTACTGATTTCTCTGGGCTCTGACCCTACTTTCACAACCTCCCCTCTCATTTCCTTATTTTGTCCCACATGCTGACAAGCTATTAGGCTCCGTATGGAAGGACATCTTTCTCTAAATACCTAAAAGCTTTTTCTCTAACCCTCTTCCTTTGTAGCTTCTTCCCAAAACCTCCTTCCAATTCACTTGATCCCTTCCTCTCCTCCTTTCTGATTTTCTCATCTTTTCCCTTTGTCTTTGAGGAAGTCTTGCCTGAATTAGTATGTAAAGTGCTTTGCATACCTTCAGAGGAGTGCTGATAAAGATGGGACAAACTTCTATCAGTTAGTTCCCTCTCTCTCTGCTGACTTCTTTTTCAGCCCACTCTCATTTCCAACTCTCCTCCAAAGTTTCTTTGATGAGGTTACTTTCAACAAATCTTTTTTCTCTCTGCAGGGCCCTGAAGCTTGGGCAGAACTTTGCCTCATAGGGTAGGGTTGAGAGGGTGTGGGTGACTAGGGGAGCTTACATCAATCTTCAACTCCCACATGGTGGGAATAAGATGGCAGCGGATGAAAAGAAGGGGCACCCAGGATGCTGAGAGAAAAATTGTGGGGGCAACTTCCTCCTCAGCTGAGAAACTTTCACTGACAAAATCCATGACTAAAGCACATTAAAATTCCTTCCATTTTACAGATGTCATAACAGCAGAGCTCTCTTCTCGCCCCCAGCTCAGAAATATTCTCAGGGGGCTATAGTCTCCCCACCTGCATGCCAGGGACTCTTGGGAAAGAGTAAGCTTCACCATAATGTCTTGAGTATTGATTGAGACCCTACATTAATGCTCCAGGCCAAAGAGTAAATCATACATGTCAACAAGGAGAAAGCACTGCTACCATGTGCCTATTTTGAAAGTGGGAAGAAACTAAAGTCAGACTCTGGTCTCAGGGTTGGGGTGAGGGTGGGGTGGGGGACTGGCTTCTCTGTTATTCCAGCCCCTGATAGCTCCTAGGGATGCTACCCACACACCAATGGGGAGTCTGTCTGAATACCTGGGTCGTTTGATAGCTTCTAATGCAATGGCATGGGAGAAAGATAGAAAAGAGGGGCCTTGGCCTTTGCCAGAGACAATACAACAGGAATGAAGGCCATTGGATCATGACTGTAATAAAGTTCCCTGACCTAAGACTCCTTGGGGGGTAGTAATAAAAGGAGGACAGAGTTCCTTAGTTCTCTTTTACAGAGCCATCTTCTGAATGCCTTCTACTCTGAAACCCTTTCTCTCTAAAGCTCCCTTTTAAAGGTTCTTTTAAACTTAACTCTCATCCAAGACTACCATTGCTCCTCCTCACTAAAGGTTAGACCCAACACTCTCTCTAACACAGAAAAGATTTTTTAGATGGGATAGGTTAGGGCTGTCCTGAGCAATTATTGGCCTTTCTCTCTTTGGCTGATGATGAATTCTGCCCCCCTTCTCTCTCTCTTTTCTGAGGGTTGTGCTGAACCCATGACTCCTAATGAACCAGAGCTTCCAAGGCTCTAGCCTGGTCGTCTCCTCAAGTCTCTGCTCATAACCCTTGTAAAATACTTCTTTTCTTATATTGCATCTCTCAAGCAGGCTGCAAGCTTGTTGAAGGCGGGGACTGTCTTGCTTTTGCATTTTCATTCTCAGCACCTAACACAGTGTCTGTCACATAGCAGATATTTAATAAATGCTTGTTGATGGATTGATCAGTCGGTCCTGGGGTTAATAGTTAGGCCTTTTCCATAACCCCTTTGTATCACCATGAGGAATCAGGAATGGAATGGATGATTTTATAGGAGAGATTTGGGCAGAGATCACGTTAACTGTGGCATTTTGACATGTGAATCTTGGCATGAAAATTCCCCTTCCTGAGCCAAGGGCAGTGGGTACTTGCTGAAGCAGGGAAATAGGTTCCAATGCTTATTGGAACTAAGTCTATGATGGGATCCATTTCAATACAATTCAATTAAAAATTACTGAATACCTACTGTGTGCATCATACTGTCCTAGATTTATGGTAGTTACAAAGTTTAGATAAGATATGATCCTAATCCTCATGGAGCTTCCAGGGGGATTTGTCACATAGTCATAATAGGTAATACTACATTATAAGTGCATAAGAGAGGTACAAAACAAGTGAGATCTAAGGAGGAAAGTATTGTTATTGATGGGGCACAGAAGGAGGAACCAAGGAGGAAGCAGATCACAGATTTTGGCTTGGAAGGCACCTAGAAACTATCTAGTCCAACCCCATCATTTTACGGATGAGGAAACTAAGGCTCAGAGAGATGTGGTCATTTGTCCATAGTCATACAACTCATAAACGTCAAAGAGGTGATTTGAATCCAGGCCTTCCAGACTCCAAATCTAGCACTGTATATATCATGCTGTCCAGTAAAGCTTCCTAGAGAAAGCATGTAGCTCAGTGGGCAGAGTTAGCTAAGTAGATCAGTGGGTAGAAAATGCTGGGCCTGCAGGGAGTCAGGAAGATCTGAGTTAAAATCCAGCTTTAGATATTTACTAGCTGTGTGACCCTACACCAATTACTCAATCTGCCTCAGTTTCCTCAACTGTAAAATGGGGATAATAATAGCACCTACCTGCCAGGGTTGTTGTGAGGATCAAATGTGTTTAGCACAGTGCCTGGCACAAAGTTAAGTGCTTAATAAAATGCCTGTTTCCTTTCTTTCCAAGTTGGACTTTAAAAGATGAAAAGGAATTCAACGGGGTATAATGCCTAGGGAGGGCCAGGCACCTCTTAAGGAAACATACGCTTTCTTTCAAGCTACAGGCATCCTAGAAGGCTATGACAACAAGAAGAGCATTATAGGAGAAGTTCCAGTGTGAATCCTTGATCAACCTGCTCTTGGTACCCAGGGTCAAAATCCTGCAAAAAATATAAGAATTGATTCCTGTTTCTTCCAGCCCTTCCTTTCTTCCTCCTCACAGTAGGCTGGCATTGCCTGGGCAACCATTTACCCCAGAAAAGTGCAAACACTCAGTCTTTAGGAAGGGAGCACCCATTTTCCTTGCCCTTTCTCAACTCTGTTTTTCCCCCCTCCTTCCTATTCCTCCTAGAACTCTGGTCTCCCATCCAGAACTTTTGTCTTCCTAGAGCTGTATGTTTCTCAACTTTCCCCTGGACCTAGGCACGTATCACACAACTCCGTTTTCAGTGTCCTGCTGACCTTCTCTTATTGAACCTATGGCTGGAGTGGTATGTACTCTCAGAGAGCACCTATGGCAACCTCACGTCAGCAGGCAGGCTATGGGAAAGAGCTAAATCAGATGACAGGGCTGCATAACCAGGAAACTTGGGATGATTTATATTTAGGGTGGAAGAAATCGAATGGCCTTAGCTGACCCCGTTCATTTATGTGGGGCAGTAGGAGTGTGGAGGGCAGGCCTTGTATAGAAGGGCCAAGGGAAAATATGGAAGGGAGAGGAGCAGAGGAGAGCCTGGTGAAGGAGCAAGCTCTCTTTTTCTCTGCTGGAGTTGTTTGTGATGAGAGTTATAGGCTTTCTCTGCACAAGCAAGCCTCCATCTTCCCTGGCTAACAGGGAACAAAACTGGCAAAGGGGCATGCAAGGAACAGGGTGGGGGAAGTGAAGGAGGAGACAGCAACTGGGACAAGGGCTGGGAGCTCTAGGTGGTGGATTGAAGATTGTCTTATCTGTCAGTCCTCAGACCTGAAGAGGACATAGCACAGGTTTCTCAGAGCATGAGAGCTCCATCCAGTTTCCTAGTCTCTGTCCTCCAGCTAAGCACTCAGACCAGGCCTTAGTCCCCTCTGAGCAGGCCTCAGGGATGTCAAACTCAGTTCTCCCTAAACCTCTCACCCTCTCATCATTTTCCAATACAACCCCCAATGCCTGTCACCCCAAATGATCTTCCCTTTCAAACTCTATAATCTTGTTTTTCATGAATTAGAGAACTGTTTCCCACCCATACCCCAAACCAGCAGGCTCCAATTTTCTGAGGGAATAGAAGTAATCAATCACCCTAAAACACAAAATCCACTTTTCACTGTCTCTGAGTTTAATTGTATCTACCAACTATCACATTAGTACACTCCAGAAGATAGACAGCTCATCAGGCCATGGTGGGGAGGGGGGAGGGGAGGGAGGAATGGGGTAAGGAAATGCAGCCTGGAGTGCCTTCGCCCACTGTATGGATGGTAGGAGAGGGAAGAGAGCTGGGCATTTGCAATTCTGCACCTCCATCCTGGCCCTCTACATTTCCCATCAATTGGCTATAGTGGGTTTGGCCCGCAACTACATTTCCTGGGCTAGTAGCCCCTACAGTGCTCCTGGAAGTGAGTTTCCACAGATTGGAGAGGAATATAAATCAAGATTCGAGATGGCTTAGGGGGTGGGGTGGGCAGGGAGGAGTGAGACGTCAAGAAATAAACAAGCCTTAACTAGGTTGATGGTTTCCCCCTTTATGCAGAACGAGGGGCCAAAGAACACCAACTCCTCAAAGCAGGGCCAAAGAAGGGAGGGATACCTGCCTGGTAGCATCTGGTTGTCTCTGGTCTCATTGCCAGAGCCTGTCTGCATGGGCAGACTGGAAATGAGTGGGGCAAGGAAGGAGTGTTTGCCATTACATAAGCCCATCTCGTTGCTGCCCCGGTACTCAGAGAGGGCTGTAATTAAGCACCGTGCCTCCTCCCTCCTTCTCATTGTAACCGCACACAGCCCCTCTGGGTGGGATGTCTCCTCTAGACATCAATGCAACCTGGCACCGGGGGCTTTGTGCCGCGAAGGATCTGGCGAGAAACAGCCCTTACCTCACGCGCCGGCTCCGGGCTCATGCCATGCTGTCCGCAGGGAGTCTTCCCTTCATGTGGAGATGAGCATGAAAGCGAGAAGGAGAAAAATATCGTGGTGGGGGGGAGGGGGGGAGGAGGAGGAGAGGGATACAGCCAGACGACCCCCCTTGTCTCTGGCAGTCCTGGGGTCAGCCCCAGTCCGAGGAAGGCCGATTTCCCCTCCTCTCTTGCTTCTAAGGCAGCAGCTGAGCTCCCTGGTTCGGATCAGAATTTGCTGTTTTGAGCTCTCCCCACCCTGGGGGAAAGGCTGGAGGTTCGTCCCAAAAATAAATAAAGCCGTTTTGCAGGGAGCAAAATGTGTTTCCTCCCTCTCCTCCCCAGCAAACAGCAAGCTGGGATCCAGAGAGCACAGGATGAGAGATGCAAGCTGTCTCTATTCCCCCCCCCACCACACACTCACACACACACACACACACACACACACACACACATACACACACACTCACTCACTCACTCGCTCCCTCGCACGCACACACACACACTCACACACGCACACATGGTGTCGTAAACCAATCCCAGTTAAAGAGACACAGCCATTATTATCAATAATGCATAAGGCCACGAGAGCTGACTTGGGTCCCCCCGCCGGGAGTCTCCACAGGAGTGGCCTCTCCCTGGGACAGACAATAGGGGTGCTGAAACTTCTCAGCTTTCCACAGCCAGAAGTCAGGGGTTGGTTGTACTTGTACATATGAACACACATGTATGTTTGTAAATATGTATATGGGTTCACGCGTGCATATTCTTGCGCTTAGGCTCAGCACACAGACCAGCGTGAAATTTATTTACACCTACGTGTTCACACTCTAACAACTCGGATGTGAGCATATGTAGATGTACATGCTTGTATACATATCGATGCACATGTATGTATATGCATAAAACTTAGCACCGAATGGGACATGTATATAGGCCATAACAATAACAAACACACATGCACTTAGCAGGAGAGGAGGGGCCGGGCCCCTTGTAGGATGTGGGTGTTCCTGTTGGAAAGGGGTGGGGTTTGCCCCTGAAGAATTGGGGTTGACTGATGAGCCGGGAGCCCCGGGGTTTAGGTGGATGAAAGGTTTCACTATTTGGGGCGGGAGTGTGGCGCCTCTCCTGGATTCTGACAGCCCTCTTCCCTGGGTCCATGACGGGGGCTGGATTGGGTTCTAGGACGAGGAGGGTTTGCGTCCTCCCAGGATCTGTTTTGTGAGGTTTGGGGACCCACGCCCCTCCGGGACCGGCCTCCCCGGCAACTGGAGTCCAGTTTGGTAGGGGAGGAGGGGGAGTGAGGATTCTGAACTCTGCCTCCAGACAGGAGGGGAGCACCAGGTGCCACTACGGCCCAAGGTCCCTGGAGCTCCAAGGGGAGGGAGAAGAGGAGGGGAGAGGAGGGGACAGAGAGGGGCGGGCTCTGAGGTCACAGCCACCGCGGCTGCGCCCCCCAGCCCCCTACTCTTCCCCGCCCCCACGCCCCATTCAGGCCCCTCCCAGGCCCCGCCCCCCTTGGGTTTAGCAGGCTGGTCAGGTTCCTCTCCTAGATGGTGCGCACCGTGGGGGGACTGGAGGCGGGGGAGGACAAGGACTGCGGGCTCGAAATAGCAACCTTGCCTTCTTTTCGCTGGGCCCCGGACCTCGCGCAGCCCGTGGGCAGCGGGCCCTCGCGCACGCACGTGCGCGACTCAGCCCAAGGCGCCTCCCCCCACCTCCCAGCCCCCACGGCCGCTCCTCCTCCGGTCTGTTCCTTTGCCGCTGCGCCGCTGCCCCCGCGCTCGGACTCCTCCGCGCGCGCGCCCTGCCCCCGACCCCCTCCCTCCCAGTTAGAAGGGCTTGAGCTGGAGTGGGGGTACCGCGGAGGCCGTAGGAGGAGGGGGACATATAAATAACCTCATCCAGGCCAACCCCCGTCACTTGAGCGCTGAGGAACCTAGAGAGATGGGACGGGAGAGGTGACTTGCCCAGGGTCTCACTGCTGGTTAATGATTACCCTACTTAGCCTCTTTCCTCCCAGCCCACCCTCCTCCGCACGGAAGCCAAATGTTTATGCCTAAGGCGCAAGTCCGAGCTGGTCTGCTCAAGAACTTTCCTTGGCTCCCTAGGGCCTCTAGGCTAAAATAAAAACTTATGTTGGGCATTTAAGTCCCTTCACGATCCGGCTCAAATCCGTTTTTCCAGACTGATTTCACATTACTGCCCTTCAGGCACTCTGCTTTCTAACCAAGCTGGCCTATCTGATGTTCCCCACGCTGGACGTTCCATCTTCCCGTTCTTACCCTGTTCTAGGCACGCGCTCTGCCTGCCTTTCCAACCTCTCCTTATCCAGCCTCTTGGAATCCACCGCTTTCCTGAAGGCGCAGTTCAAAAGCCGTCTCAATTTAATGCTCTCCGCTCTCTTGAAGTTAGTTGGTCTTTATTTTGAATTTGCATATCTGTAGACTTGGTGTTTTCCCCCCTAGTAGAATGTAAGCTACTTGAGGGCAGGAACTTTTTCAGTTTTGGCTTTGGATTCCTGGTAACAGTGCCTGGCATACAGTAGGAACTTAATAAATGCTTGCTGGAATTAACTGAATGGCGCAGTCAGTACTTTAAATAGTCACCTAGTTCTGAGAAGGGAGGTGGGAGGGTGGTATGGATGATTAGTAGGAGGGGCAGTACCAGGGTTGAGCTGAGCCTCCCTGCTGCCCTGACTCTTCCTCACTGTTGTACCATCGTGTGTCACGGTGGGACAAGCTCCATGTCTGTAGGCTTCCAGAATCAGGAAGACCTTGTTTTTTCTTTAATACCTTCCAATGAGATGATAAGCTGAAGTAGGAGCTTTGGGAACAAAGCTCCCTGTATCACAGTAGTCTGTGAGGAGACAGAAAAGCCGCAGGGCCTTACTGCCGGGGGATAATTGTGAGGAACAGTCACTTTCTATGTGGAGGCCCATATTACAGAGCCGTATAGGTCCTATCCTTTGCTGAGACCTAGGGACAGGTGTATCCTATGTCTCCCTGCAATAAGATAGAATTCCTTGTCTTTCCAAAATTTGTGTCCTTAGCCCCTCAGAGACCTCAGAGCCAAGATCTGTAACTCTGGGCAGATTGCCCTCAGGGTGTTAGAGCTGAGAGGGTAGAAGGAGGCCTAGAGTATTGCAGGGTGATCCTCAATGCTGGTACAAGGGTGTTTTGTTGGTAGTATTGGAATGTACCAAGATTCAGAGATTGCAGAATCACTTCTGGTCAGAGGCAGATGCATAAAAACCCCCTGCTCCTGGTCCTGGCCTGGCTTCCCTTTAAGGCACTGGGTAAAAATGCCATAGTTTCCAGGTTAAGAAAGCTTTGGACAACCATACCCAACAGAGGCTAAGGTCTGCTGTTTTAGGACGCAAGATGACCAGGGCTACCAATAATGGAGGAGAAGGGAGGGGAAAAAAAGGATAGGTCATAAGGGCAACAAGAAAAAGAACATGATGAGTATAGAAGAAGGAAATCAGGAGTGAGAAAACAGAAGACTGTGTCCCATGAGATGTTCTTAATAGAAATTGAACCAGCCAGCATTAAGAGCAACTGAGAGTGGCCTTGAGGAGTATGGGCCCCCTGGGCTATGGAGCCAGTGGGGGGGTGTGTGTGCATGATAGACTCAGTCTCTTAGTGCATTGGCTGTGGCAGGAAATTCATATTTCACTACGTGCATCGGGGAAGGGGGTGCCTCCTCCAGGGGTAAAATCTATGCTGAGATGGAGGTAAATAAAACCTCTTTAGATATAACAGAAATAATAAAAATCACAGTCGTGACTACATTCCTCTGAGTACAGAAGGAGAGGAAATAGGCTTAAATTGTAGCAGAAAGGATTTAGATTAAACATAAGGAAGAAATTTCAATGAGTTACCAGAGGGAGTTTCAGAGATCTTTCAGTCCAAGCTAAGTGCTTGTCTGTCTGGAGTAGTTTAATTGAAGGAGGGGAAGGGGGGCTGATTATAAGATCTCCCTCTGGAAATCTTTTCCGGCTTTATAATTCTATGGTATGTGGACCATAGAAACACTGGAAAGCAGTGTGGTATAATGGATTGGGTGCCAGACTTGGGGTTAGGAAGATCTGAATGCAAATCATGCCTCCTGCGTTTACTAGCTAAGTGACCATGAGCAAATCCTTCCCCTTACTGAATATGTTTCCTCATCTGTGAAAAGGAGATAATAATTCATACGTCATAAGGCTCAAATGAAATAATGCTCATAGCATGCTTTGCAAACTTTAAAGCTCTCTATAAATAAATGTCCATTCTAACCTTATAATTATCTTCTTAGAATTGGAAGAGTGACCAACAAATGTAAATGTTCTGCAGGACAACTGATTATTGTCCAAAGACGAGCCCTAACCTGCAGATTCTTGGTCATTTGTTGTCTCTTGTTTAGTTGCTGGACAAATAACCATTAGGTATGATTAGCATGCTATAGGGTACAACAAAAGGGTGATCAATTGTACATAATTTCCTCTTTTGTACCTGAAGGTAATTTTTATTTTTTATAGTTAAATTTTATTTTTAATTGTTTATTTTCTTTTCCTCCCACCTCTATCCTTCCAACTGAGAAGGAAAAAAAAGAAAAATCAAAGCCCTTGTAAAAAATGTTCATAATTACGCAAAACAAACTCCCATCTTGGCCATGTCAAAAAGTACACACTTCATTTTACATCTAGAATCCATCATTTCTATTCCAGGAGATGAATAGCATTCTTTGTCAGTTCTCTGGCTGGTCATTAAGTTGATCAGAGTTCTTAAGACTCTGAGAATAAGGCTTAAAAATGATTAAATAAACATTGTTTATGTGTGTGTGTGTGTGTGTATATAATGCATTTATATCCAATTCAAAAACATTTGTTAAGCATATATTATTTTCTATTTAAAACACTGCACTCAGCACTTAGGGAGAGAGCCAAGGATGAATAAGCCACAATCCCTTGACCTTAAGGAGTTTTACAATCCAGTAGGGGGAAATAAGATATATCGAGAAATAAATACAGTACAAATTAGTAAATGTTAAGTGTTTTAGGAAAATATAGA